CTCTAGAAAGAGTACAGAGAAGAGCAACAAAGATAATCAGGGGACTAGAGGCTAAAACATATAAAGAACGGTTGCTGGAATTGGGTATGTCTAGTTTAATGAAGAGAAGGACGAGGGGGGACATGATAGCAGTCTTCCAATATCTCAGGGGCTGCCCCAAAGAAGAGGGAGTCAAGCTATTCTCCAAAGCGCCTGAAGGCAGGAAAAGAAACAACGGGTGGAAACTAAGCAAGGAGAGAAGCAACCTAGAACTAAGGAGAAACTTCCTGACAGTTAGAACAATTAACCAGTGGAACAACCTGCCTCCAGAAGCGGTGAATGCTCTAACACTGGAGGTTTTTAAAAAGAGACTGGACAGCCATTTGTCCGAAATGGTATAGGGTTTCCTGCCTGAGCAGGGGGTTGGACTAGATGACCTCCAAGGTCCCTTCCAACTTTACTATTATTATTAACCTAGAATGAATTCCTAAATAATGTTTAGCGTGCTAATTAATTATATTTTTTGTTTAATTATAATAGAATAACAGAGTTGGAAGGAACTTAGGAGGTCCAAACTACCAAAAGGTGTGAAAATGTAAGACATTGCTGGCAATAAACGTTAATACTGCTGACATTCTCTCAGAATAACAAAATAACTAAGGTGGAAGGGACCTTGGAGGTCTTCTAGTCCAACCCTCTACTCAAGCAGAAGTCCTATACCATTCCAGACAAATGGTTCTTCTTAAAAACCTTCATTGATGGAGCACCCACAACATCTGAAGGCAAGCCGTTCCACTGGTTAATTGTTCTCATTGTCAGGAAATTTCTCCTTCGTTCAAGGTTGGTTGATTAATTTCCATCCGTTGCTTCTTGTCCTGCCCTCAGGTGCTTTGGAGAAGAGGTTGACACCCCCCTCTTCTTTGTGGCAGCCCCTGAGATATATTGGAAGACTGCTAGTCCTTCTTTTCATTCAACTAGACATACCCAATTCCTTCAATTATAAAACATAATTCCATCAAATTGCTCAGGGCCCATCTTAGCTACTAGGTGTTAAGTCCTGGGAATAATGGCGCTTGAGACGAAGCATCTCCAACAAGTCTTTATTGTTTGCTCCATTCTACGAACAACGACAAAACCCCAGAGGCGCGCAAGCCTCTATTTATACTCTCCGATCCCCGGGCAATTCCCCCCAGTCACAAGGTAGTCCTTTCCCGCCTTGCGCATGCGCGCAAGGCTGGCGCCGGTCAGTCTGGTCCCGGGCAGCTTTTGCAAATGCCCGGGACTCTTGCAACTTCCCGCGCCTGCTTCTGCAGGCATGGGACACAACACCCCTCCCCCCTAGAATAAACAATGCTGCGCCCGTCATGGACGCCACCTTTGGTAGAAGGGTGTGAAGGAACCGCCGCATCGTGGCAAATCATGCTGTCTAGTAGAAACTCCTTCAGTCGACCCAGGCAGCTCGTAGCGATGTAGCCTTTACTTCTGCACGCTTCTGGCGTCCACCGCGTCCGAGGCAATGAATCTCAGCTGGGCCCTTGTCCTGACGATGTTTGGACCTCCTCCCAGCTGTTGGTAACGCTTGTCCACCTTCGTGTGGATGGTTGCAGTCACTGGAGCGCTTTGAGTGGGCCGTAGAATCTTGGCCACTCCACTTGCAGATCTCTCAGTTGATTTCTCCAGCTCGCTGATCTCTCCGTTGAAATGTGTGTCTCCAAGCCCTGGTCGAGGATCAGGGTCGTCTCTGTAGCCGCACGCACCCTCCAGCGATTTCGTACTGGCAGGATAACGCTGACTTCCACACCGTTCGAGGATCAGGGTCGTTTTCAGCAGCCGCACGCACCCTCCAGCGATTTCGTACTGGCCGGATAACGCGGACTTCTTCGCCGTTTCTTTCCCGGACTTCATTGGGTGAGTCTTCTAGCTTTTCTTAGCTGCAGAGATTGAATCCCACCTTCGTCGCCAGTGTTAAGTCCTGGGAATAATGGCGCTTGAGACGAAGCATCTCCAACAAGTCTTTATTGTTTGCTCCATTCTACGAACAACGACAAAACCCCAGAGGCGCGCAAGCCTCTATTTATACTCTCCGATCCCCGGGCAATTCCCCCCAGTCACAAGGTAGTCCTTTCCCGCCTTGCGCATGCGCGCAAGGCCGGCGCCGGTCAGTCTGGTCCCGGGCAGCTTTTGCAAATGCCCGGGACTCTTGCAACTTCCCGCGCCTGCTTCTGCAGGCACGGGACACAACACTAGGGATCTCAACAACGTGATACCCTTAGAACAGGTGTGCCCAAATATCGCAGCTTTATTCTGTAGCATGGCAAATTTGGGGCTTTTAAGGGATAAAATGGATACGTCGGTGGATAGCAAATTTGAGGCTTTTAAGGTATAAAATGGATCCGTTGATGGATGCTTGCAGAGGAGAAGTTTACAAGGCACACCATTTGTTAAAATGTCCCTCTTTTTCTTCCAGATCTAGCTGAAATGATGTATGTTTTGAGATCATATGCAATTGAGATCATTAGGACTGGATTATTCCTTCATAGTGGGCAGACCAGAAAGCAAATGACACTAACTGAATTTTGGACCATAATTTATCAACTGGAAAATGTCACGTATGACCGCGGCGATGAAGATTTGCTTTCAAAGACGAGGCAATGATACATTAATGGGAGAACCTTTAGCAATGGCGAACGGTGTCCGGTAAATCCCTTGCGGATCAGAAGAACCGAAAAATGGGACGCTTAAAATTTCTGGGTCCTCTGAATTCAGAGTTTCTCGTAGAATCTTTTCATTAGTGCTGAAAAACCGCCATGTCAGCTTCTCAGCCTCCTGTTTAATGAGGGGTTCAAATTAAAACTCATCCCATCTCTACCTGAACACCCCCAGCGAACAAGAAAATGCCATCCGTATGGAGGGTTGGTTCCTCTAGCTGAATTGCTTCTATTTTAGGATGGGGTTCCCCCCTCTAATATTTAATCAGAATCCGCCTCCCTTTAATTTAAATAAATCGTTCCATGTTCTGAACTCTGGGGCAATACAAAACAAATCTTGATCATCCTTTGGGGGATATCCATTTAGCTATATTAAGACACTCTCATATCCTTCTCCTCAATTTAAACATTCCCACTTCCTGCTCCCGAAGGTTCCTAATTATAAAGTTGTCTTTCCATCTTCAAACAGGTACTTTGGTAATAGTGACTCCAGCTAAAGAGGAAAAAAATTGCATCTTGGCAGGACTGCTCTTTAGAAGGCCAGATCCTGAAGTTGAAACTCAAATACTTTGGCCACCTAATGAGAAGGAAGGGCTCACTGGAGAAGAGCCTAATGCTGGGAAAGATGGAGGGCAAGAGAAGAACGGGACGACAGAGAATGAGGGGGCTGGATGGAGTCACTGAAGCAGGAGGCGGGAGCTTCAATGGACTCCAGAAGATGGTAGAGGACAGGAAGGCCTGGAGGAACATCGTCCATGGAGTCGCGATGGGTCGGACATGACTTCGCAACTAACAACAACAAGGAATAAAACCTTACAAAGAGAATGAGGTGGCTGGATGGAGTCCCTGAAGCAGGAGGCGTGAGCTTCAATGGACTCCAGAAGATGGTAGAGGACAGGAAGGCCTGGAGGAACGTTGTCCATGGGGTCGCAATGGGTCGGACACGACTTTGCAACTAACAACAACAAGGAATAAAACCTTACAAAGACCGGCGTGGGGTAGTTTTATTCCTTGGAAGATACTTTGATGTGCAGATAAATCTGCCACAGTGATCAGACAGATTTGCTTAGCGCTGTTCATGTGTTCCTCACGTAACAACTATTGTTTTGTGCCATTACCGAGGCTCATGTTTTTAATTCTGTGACTTAACTTTATTAATTTGCACATCAGCTCAGCGAGGAGAGTGTTGCTTTCCCTTTGAAACGAAACGACGGGGGGAAAAAGGAAGGGAAAACACAGATGGCTAATACTGATGTTTTGCTCTTCTGAAGTCTATCAATGCTGTAGGATAGATTGGTTCCTCAAGAAAACACTTCACTGCAAATGTATTAGTATATAATGCTATGCAATCGCAACATCTGGCTCACAGCCCTCAACGTTATTTTGTACACCAAACAAATGAAGAGATAATTATTTATTGTGGTGGGAGCCCATTGAAGTCAACCCAGCCTATTCCTAGTCTGCATCTGGGGTACTGCTAGGAATTACCCAGTTTGACAGGGAGTGTGGAATTAGCTTGGACTCACTGTGCAACAACAAAAGGACAAGTCCACACACACACACACACACCCCTCAAATCCTTGGAGCCTTATCTAATTGTTCCCAGGCGTAGGCTGCCAGACTGGGACAGATTCCTGTATTATAGGCTGAAGATAATAAAGTAGTTAGTTTAAACCCTGCAAGTGTGGGTTGTTTATGCCTACAGGTACACCCTACCAGCATAGTGTTTCAAGTCCCAACAACTTCATATTAATAGAAGAACAGAGTTGAAAGGGACCTTGGAGGTCTTCTAGTCCAACCCACTGCTCAAGCAGGAGACCATATTCCATTTCAGACAAATGGCTGTCCAGTCTCTTCTTAAAGGCCTCCAGTGATGGAGCACCCACAACATCTGGAGGCAAGTCTTTCCACTGATTAATTATTCTCATTGTTCAGGAAATTTCTCCTTAGTTCTAGGTTGCTTCTCTCCCTGTTTAAGTTTCCATCCGTTGCTTCTTATTCAGCTTTCAGGTGCTTTGGAAAATAGATTGACCGCCTGTTATTTGTGGCAGCCCCTATTGGAACACTCTTATCATGTCGCCTCTAGTCCTTCTTTTCACTAGATTAGACATATTTACCGCAACCTTTCTAACACATTTATTAAATGTTTATGTTTATTAACATACACATATTTATAGACTGACAGTTACGGATGCACAGACTCCAGCATTGATATTTCACCCTGTGCATTTTTAGTGAGCGATAAGCTTAATTTTGCTTAATGCCACTGGCTTTCCATGATCGGTTAGCATTTACTTCCTTAAGCTGCCTTACCCTCATTCGTCCGTTTCTTATTGCTGGCCCGTCTTCTGCCAATCTCAAGACATACAGGTCCATTTTGTATTCTCTCCCTCCACGAATACTGAATCCAAACCCTTTGGCTCCCTTTTCCAAGTCCACAGTAAAATAATCAAAATCCTAGACAAACCAAGGGAGAGAAGAAAAATTAACAATTTTAAGAAATGGTAGCTGGGCAGTGGGGACATGGTAGCTGGGCAGTGGGGACAAGACTCCGCCCTTGTGCCGCGTCGCGCGCAGATGATGCTGTGGGGCACGGGCGGAAGGCATGGCTGCCATGGCGCTGTTGGACTGCCTGGGTGATCTGTGTTGGGCTGTGAAGGTGATAGGTGGCCCAGCGGGCACGGCGGAGTGTGGACAGGGGTGGGGGGCAGTTTTTGGGCACTTGGTTTCTAAAGGTTATATATATATTTGGCTGACACTCTATGCTTATCAAATCTGTGTCTTGATGGAGGATGTCTCAGTATAACCTTGCTGGAGTTGGCAAGCATGTCAGAATCTGGGCATCTGTGCAATTTATGTGCGGATAATGTCTGTTTGGACAGCTCACACAGCAACGCAAACAGATACATAAGGTACGAGCTGCTGAACCAACAGTCGGGTTTTTTTTTGCTTGAGTGCCTTTGTGGGTTTTAAAAATGATTTTCTAATTAACAGAAGAATTGATCTGTCAAAGGGGGTGAAAAAAGTGGCAATGTTTGCACAGTCGTTCCGCAGAGTTTATATTTAGCCAATCTGCGGGTGGAACTGCTTAGATTATCCATGTGTAAAAGTGACCCTCTTGGTCTCTCGCTTACACAAATGACGTGGCTCCCATCCAAAGTACAAAAAGGAGCAGCATTTGACTTGATTAGCTATTCCTTTCAGCCACAGTATCTGGGAAGGCATGTTTTTAAATGCAGAAGAGTTTCTGCAGCTCGCTTTCACACACAGCACCACACTTTACAAAGAAAGTGAAAGAAAACATTTACTTATTCGTGTTTTCTGTCCTACTTCTTAACCGAAACCTTTTCCAAAAACTAACAGAACAGATAAAAGTAAAGGTTTCGTGTCCAACTGTAAGGGGCGGTGCTCATTTCTATTTCTTAGTTGAGGAAGCCAGCATTGTTGGAAGACACTGCCCGCAGTTATGTGGCCAGCAAGGCTATATGCTGAAGGCACTTGGACCGCTTTACCTTCCTGCTGAAGTAATGCCTATTTATCTACTCGCATTTGCATGCTTTAGAACTGCTAGATGGGCAGGAGCGAGGACCGAGGAACAGGAGCTCACCCCGTTGCGTGGTGCCGGGTCTCAAACCCAGCCTGTCAGCTTTCCAGTGACACTGATTGTCAAGAATGAAACTTTGGCAGCTACGTGCCTCTTCGTTTTGACTTGCCATTAGAGAAGGGGTTCCCAACCAGGGATGCTCACACCCCCTGGGGGTGCGAGACAATATTCCAGGGGGTGTGAAAACTTGGCTTTAGAAATTTCAAACTTATAGTGTACATGCATAATTCGTTGCTGTTATTTCGAACTTTTGTAAGGGGTTGCGAGAATATATCAGAAGCGTTCTAGGGGTGCGGGGTATAGGAAAGGTTGTGAACTGATGCATTAGAGTTGGGGGGGAGGTGATGCTTCAGAAGTGTTTAGATGGAGAAATGAAACCTTTATGATTCTGCTGAAGACCAGTGAGAACCTGAACCATTTCCAAGGACACTGCAGTAGGTGTTGAGGAGAAGCAGACAGTTCCCATAACAAAGTGAAATTGTTTACAGGGGCTATGTGAGAGGGCGGGGGTTTGGCCGAAGAGACTATTATTCATTTCTATGAATCGGTGTCTTTGGAACCTCAGAGTTAATTTTGCTTCGACGGTACCATGCCGTGTTTTCAATAAACAATAAGATTTTCGAAAATGGAATGAACCTGGTGATTTATTTGGATCCTCGAGCTAAATGTTGACATTGATGAAGGGAAATACCTGAGGTGGTCTGTAATCCGATAAGGGGAACTGCCTGGTGTCTGGAGAATGCTGTCGGTAGTCTATCAAAGGCGGTTGCCGGTAATCCAAAGGGGGGGATTGCTGGTAATCTAATACTGGCGGATGCCGATAATCTAACGGAGGCTGCCTGTAATCTGTAAACGGAGGTTGCCGAATGTCAGGTTTGACATCCTGCCTTGCTTTTACTTCCGACCTATAACTAAACAAGAAAAGAACAATGGCATTAGGACCGGAACACTCTGTTGTTGGTTAAATTGCGAACCTGTAAAACACATGCTGGATTGCTGGATTGTACGTGTGCAATTCGGAAATAAACCTCAGTTTGAGTATGTGCGAGAAATAGGTGGGGATAGCGATGCCTGCCCTATGACGCTGGGTGCAGTATTTCAGTAGGCGGTGAAGAGGGGAAGGCAAAGGTTGTGTTGCAGTTGACTCGTCCACTAGATCAATCGAAAATGAACCAGTTTTTTAAATGGAACAGTGGTTTGCGTCACACCGCTTTGATGATGACAGTTACAGCAGGGGTGTCAAACTGCTGACCCGCGGGCCAGATGCATCATGCCGAAACCGCGCCCACCCCATTGCCAGCAATGGAAAAAAAGTTGCGATACGTCGCGACACATCACGTGACATTGCGAGTTTGACACCCCTATGTTACAGGGTGCCTTTGTTCCCAGGTGGGAGATTTTTTTTCGCAGAAGGAATTTTCAAACCTCGTAAGACGTGATGAGAAGTGCTTCAATTTGAATGGCAATTATGTCGAAAAGTAATGTAATGTTGTATTTTTCTAATGTGCATAAGTTCTGTATCTGCGAGTGTCTGTCATTGAAACCAAACGGAGGCTTATTTCCGAATTGGTCTCATAAAACCGAGTACCACTAAGTTTGGCTAAGTAATCAAAGCATGCAGCATTTCATTTTCAATTTGGAGGGCCCTGGTTGAAAAGGAGAAGACTCATCCTGAGACGTCCGTAGGATGACCAGGTATGGTTCTGGTGTACAAAACCACGTAGATGCTGTAAGGACAGAAATGGAGAAGCACTAGGACAGGGGTCTTCAAACTTGGCCGCTTTAAGACTTGTGGACTTCAACTCCCAGAATTCCTCAGCCAGCCCTGGCTGGCTAAGGAATTCTGGGAGTTGAAGTCTACAAGTCTTAAAGTGGCCAAGTTTGAAGACCCCTGCGCTAGGAGAATATTTACAACAGGATGAGATTTAAGAGGCAGAGAACATAAAACCAGCCTATGTGTCAGAGGCAAAGAATCAGAACCATACGTTACGTTGCAGCTCAGAGAATTTATTGCTGCATAGGTAGTCCTCAACTTACAACCACAATTGAGCCCACAATTTCCGTTGCTAAACAAGACAATTGTTAAATGGGTTTTGGCCCCGTTTTATAGCTTTTCTTGCCACGTTAAGTTAGTAACACGGTGAATCTGACTCCCCCTCGAATTTGCTTGTCAGGAGATTGCAAAGGGGGATCGCGTGACCCCGGGACACTGCAACCGTCGTAAATATGAGTCAGTTGCCAAGCATCCAAATTTTGATCACGTGACCGTGGGGATGCTGCAACCGTCGTGAGAAAACAGTCATCAGTCACTTTTTTTCAGTGCTGTTGTAACTGTGAACTGTTATACTAAATGAATGGTTGTAAGTCAAGGAGTACCTGTACACGAGAATCTAGTCAATGAAAGTTCAATTCTAAATTGGCACCAGTGGAATTCAGGAGGGGTTGAACTTAAATCGTTTGTGGGAATGTACGGATTCTAGGCTAAGGACTCGTTTAACTCCGCCCGCCCCTCTCCTGTTCTATGAATGGAAATCTTTCTTCGTACCAACCAAAGCGTTAAGTCAAGCTGAGCTTCAGCCCAATAAGCTCTTCCCACCTTCCCACTGGAACCAAGAGCCAACGATTCCTGCGTTACCTGTTTTCATGTCCTTGAGTCTGTAGAGGTTGTGGAGGGGCTGGTTGTGCTACAGGGCTCTGCTGAGTCCCAGGGCTGTGTTGCTGGGCCATGGGAGACTGCTTTTCTGAGCTGGGTGCGGAAGCTGGGCTGCTCACCTCTGCATGGTGGAACAAGAGAGGTTAGAGAGTTGTCACTCCAGATGGCAATAAGTGAAGAAAAAAGAAGGCAACTAGTCCAATCAAACTATCTATTTTCTCTCTCAATCTCTCACCTCTCACCTCTCATCTCTCATCTCTCTCTCTCTCTCTTTATCTATCTATCTATCATCTCTCTCTCTATTATCTCTCTCTCATCTCTCTCTTTCTCATCTCTTTCTCTATGTCTGTCTGCCTGTCTGTCTATATATCTATCATCTCTCTATATATATCTATCATATCTCTCTCTCTATTATCTCTCTCTCTCTCTCTCTCTCTCTCTCTCTCTCTCTCTCTCTCTCTCTCTCTCTCTCTCTCTCTCTCTCTCTCTCTCTCTCTCTATCTATCTATCTATCTATCTATCTATCTATCTATCTATCTATCTATCTATCATCTATTTATCATATCTATCTATCTATCTATCTATCTATCTATCTATCTATCTATCTATCATATCTAAATCTATCTATCTATCTATCTATCTATCTATCTATCTATCTATCTATCTATCTATCTATCTATCTATCTATCTATCTATCATCTATCTTTGCTTTTATGGTTTGTAAATTAGATCTAAAACACCCCTCTTCACTTAGTCGGTTCCACTGAATCAAAGTTTATTAAAACTGAGATGTTTTGTTAATCGTCCAAGTAATTTTTTTTCAGTCGAAATGGAAATGTTTGGTTAGGTAGAAAGTCAGAGAGTACAGACTGCAGGGTGGGGTGGGGTGGGGGTCCTCCACCAAAATGAAGAGCAACGTGGAAAAACAAACAAATGCAAAATGGAATGAGACGGCAACTATTAGAGGCTGTAAAGATGATTTCCAATTGCTAGTTGGGACAAAGCTAATTTTTGTCACAAGGCAAAGGAACATACTCCATCCTGGTGGATTGAAATATATCCTATTTCCCGGAAAACAAGACCTAATTGGAAAATAAACTCTCGCATGATTTTTCAGGGTGCTCATAATATAAGCCCTACCCCTAAAATAAGCCCCAGTTAAGATTGCCAGCCAGACTGACGCATTTAGTATCGTATTTCCCCCCAAAATAAAACCTAACTGGAAAAGAAGCCTTAATGCTTCTTTTGGAACAAAAATTAATATAAGACCTGGTCTTATTGGTGGGGAACTATGGGGTATTTTTGTCATTTGAAGGGCTGAGATTGTACTCCATCCAGCCAATAAAGGTAAATGTTTGTAGCCCAGGGTTGAAATGAGGATAGTTGTTTTCAAGAAGATATTTCATGACCTAAACTAGATAACATTATCAGTATCCAGCAAGGTCTGCAGGGGTCCAGCAATACCCCTGATATAATGTCAGGCCCTGCCCAGCCCATTGAAAACATCTCCCCTTTCCCAAGAGAGCCATTGGGATTAATTGGTTCCTCCCTCAAGTTCCCTCCTGAATTTTTAAGGGTCAAGGACTTACCTTCCTGAGGAATGATGCGAAGAGTTACGCTAAGGCCAGCATCTTTAATTAGCTTCACAATATCGGCGTGAGGCATGTTAATAATGGACTGGCCATTCACAGCTAAGATCCGGTCTCCGACTTTCAATTTCGCACAGCGATCAGCAGGACTCCCTTCAATTATCCTCCCTATTTTATGGGGTACGGCTGGAAGACAAAAGAAGGGGTAGATAAGAGGCAAGCAACAGATACAATATTTATAGACAGACAAAATGGCTCCCCCCTGGAAAATGTCTAGACTCTAGACCAGTGTTTCTCAACCTTGACAATTTTAAGGCATGTGGACTTCAACTCCCAGAATTCCACAGCCAGCATTGCTGGCTGTGGAATTCTGGGAGTTGAAGTCCACATGCCTTAAAATCGTCAAGGTTGAGAAACACTGCTCTAGACCGAGCTTGCCCAAGTTCTCCTAGTTGTTCCTGCCCTAGTTATTTACTCTTTGTCCTTTGGTTTCTTTACTGCCTGAGCTTCCACTGTCATCTTGGTTGTTTTCTTTCTACACTTCAGCTGTTATTGGAAGGAATGACAAAAATGAGGTAAGTAGAGGAGCCGTATCTTCAAAACCCCTGCCGTCTATTAGAAATGCATCTTCTCTTGAAGATCCATCGGAAGACAAAATAGCTTCTCATAGCCCTGTCTTTGCTGAAGGTGACAATGGCACAGACTAGTTACAGAAGTCCTTCAGTGTCTACATTGTGGAAGTCTACTGCATCATGGTGGCCCCGCTTGCAAGTTTTCTCAAGATGGCTGAGGAAATGTAAGAGATTACCCCATCACAGAAAACGTATGGCACTTTCAGTAGGCTGTCCCCTGGAAACTACCTGGACAGAAACAATTCAACGATGGCTACAACTACTCGTTGCAGGGCAATCCTACAACAAGAGAAGCTTTCTCTGTTCAAAAGTAGGGGTGTCATGATGGCTTCCCACCAGTATAAGATGGGAAGCAGACAAAACCTGCATTGGATGCTGTAACATGATTGAACACGGAGAAGAATCCCAAAAGATATATACATCACGGGGTGGGGTGGGGTAAACAACAAAAATAACAGCAATAACAACAACTAGATCATTTCTACAACCAGAGCATTCTGTGGTGACCCAGTGGTTAGAATGCAGTATTGCAGGCTGACTGCCCACTGCCAGCAGTTCGATCCTGACCAGTTCAAGGTTAACTCAGCCTTCCATCCTTCTGAGGTCGGTGAAATGAGGACCCAGATTGTTGGGGGCAATAAAGCACCATGAAGCGGTATATAAGACTAAGTACTATTTCTATTTCAGTTCTGGCCACTCTTGAACACACGAACCCAAGCTCTCAAAACATATTAAGGCAGGAGTCTTCAAACTTGGCCCTTTTATGACTTGTGGACTTCAACTCCCAGAATTCCTCAAATAGGCACGGTGGATGAGGAATTCTGGGAGTTGAAGTCCACAAGTCATAAAAGGGCCAAGTTTGAAGACCCCTGTATTAAGGCCTTAAAAGACCCACTACTTGGATTATTAGCTATTCACATACAAAACATTTCTGAATACAGTTGTTCCCATTCAGGCTGCTGGTTTATGTTTAGGTGGGTTTTAATTGTTTTATTCTTCTTTATGGATTTTATAGGCTGCTCCAAATCTTCTGAAGTGGCTGGTACATATTAAAACAAATAAATTAAAGAGGTGCCAGACTTCATTTCAGTGTAGAACTGGGCAAATAATTTTTTTTTCAATGCCATGTTGTTGATACATTACGGATGTTTGTGTTGCTAATGCCGACTAAATCTAAATCTGTACTTACTGAACAAATTACCATGCAATTCAGTTATGAAGGAAACTTATAGAATGGCCACAGAAAATGACCATCTCTAGCCGGGCTTGAAAAACGCTAAGATGATTTGACGTGGTGAGGACCCAGGGTAATAATCATCTACTGTATCTGTTACGATGGAGAGTTCTGATTTTTTTTTACCTGATTTTTAAAATATGAGCATATATATTTACAAAAATGTTGGAATAATTAGGAGATTACTGCCTCTGGTGTAGAGCAGAAGAGTCACCTCGTAGAGTCACATATGAAGAAAGAAAGAAAGAGAGAGAGAGAGAGAGAGGAGAAAAAGGAAGGAAGAAAGGAAGAAAGAAGAAAGAAAGAAAGAAAGAAAGAAAGAAGAAAGAAAGAAAGAAAGAAAGAAAGAAAGAAAGAAAGAAAGAAAGAAAGAAAGAAAGAAAGAAAGAAAGAAAAAAAAAGATCCTTAAGGGTCTAAAAATGGAGTAGAGATTTCACCAATCCATTAATTTCCAGAATTCTTCTCAAACTAGATAAGGGTGGCTTTAACTGACCAATTATCAGTTAAATACATCTACAAATGGTTGTCTCTCCTGTTCTTTTTTATTTTTTATTTTTGCTTAATCCCATGTTCTCATATCTAAACTTTCAACAGCTGGATGACAGCTACACTACAAAGAAATCCAGAACATGTTAATTCCTCGTACCCAGCCACCTAGCGTTGGCCTTTCCGACTTCTTCCATTGACAGTAGACCATGATGCCTTATTAGATACAATTAGGGTCACCCAACTTTGCACGAGACGATCTTAGCAGCGCCCTTCTAAGACAGCTGATTTTTCACCAGCCTGTTTCACAAATTTCGGGCTCCGTCGTGGTCCCAAGTCAAGGACTGTCTGTAAACCCTTCAACTTTAGCCACCCAAAATGTAAATCAAAAAGTAGCACTATTGAGCAGAAAACGTCAATCAAAAAGTAGCACTATTGAGCAGAACTTGGTTACACTGAGCAAGACTCTGCCCCTTTGGTGTGTGTATGTGTGTGTGTGTGTGCTTTGTGGCATTGTGAGAGTCCAACGCCAGTCTCTCCTTTTGATCACAGTGATGGATTTTGCCCCAATAATGGCCTCTTAAATTCAATGTGGATGCCTAAGGAGGTCCTGGATAATGGCTGCTAAAGAAATGGCTTCAGGCTAAACCCAGCTTACATTTATCTAGTCTAAGACAGTGAAATATTATTACTTTCAGCACAGATGAAAATAATTCTCGTGCTCTCTTTTTTCCCCCCCCCCGACTGCCTTTTTCACTCATCTATTCGTTTTGACAGAAAGCGCATAAAACATGCAGGCGCTTGCTGCTTAATTTTTTTAAACCCCAAAAAATCTTCCAGGGGGAGAGCTCGTAAATCAGCAGATATTTATTTACCGAAAGCAGAGAAGAGCTGTCTAGTCCTTTGTCCTATCTTTTTTTTTTTTTAAATCCTTTTCATTCTCTTTCCAGTTAAAAAGAAAAAAGTGGAGCCTAAGTTTCTCTTGCAAAATAGCCAGACAGGGCAATTTTGAGCAGTTAACTCAGGGGTAGTCAACCTTGGCTCTTTTATGACTCGTGGACTTCAACTCCCAGAATTCCTGAGCCAGCTAAGCTGGCTCAGGAATTCTGGGAGTTGAAGTCCACGAGTCATAAAAGAGCCAAGGTTGACTACCCCTGAGTTAAATGGACAGAAAAAGAAGACAAATGATCAAACCTCGACCTGCTGAATTATTGGTAAAGCAGTTGTATCATAGATACACTCAGATCGTCATTTCAAAAAAAAAAAAAAAAAGACTGCCTTCCCATGATTGGTTAGGAGTGTGAATGGGTTTCTGGGCGTGGAAGCCTCTGTTTTAGGGTTAATGGAACTCTACAAAGAGATATTTGCGCAGAGGCCCCTTGCAGATTAATTAAGGTGTTTTCTAGCTATACACCGCAAAAGAGAATTTCAGAGTGAAATTTTTTTCCTTCCCTTCTTCCTCCAGAACAAGAGTCTGCCTAGTTTGATTGAAAGCGACTGCAATAGAGAGAAGCAAAAACGCAAACCCAGTGTTTGCTTTTCCAGACAATAATTTAGTAAAAGAAAAAAAAATGTCAACCAAAAATATAGGGTATCTGTCTGTCTGCCTGCCTATCTCTCTCTTTCTCTCTCTCTCTTTCACATCTATCTATATTTTATCTATTTATCTATATCTGTTTTATTTATAATCTATCTGTCTATCTGTCTATCTGTCTATCTATCTATCTATCTATCTATCTATCTATCTATCTATCTATCTATCTATCTATCTATCTATTTTCTATCTATATTTTATCTATTTATCTATATCTATCTATCATCTATCTGTCTATGTCTTTCTCTCTCTCTATATATATATATCAATCTATATTTATATATATCAATCTCTATCATCTTTCTCTCTCTCTCTCTCTCTTTCTTTCTCTTTCTTCCTTTTTCTTTCTTTCATCACCCCCCCTCTATCTATCTATCTATCTATCTATCTATCTATCTATCTATCTATCTATCTATCTATCTATCTATCTATCTATCTATCTATCTATCTATCTATCTATCTATCTATCTATCTATCTAACTATCTTTTATCTCTTTATCTATATCTATCTATCTATCATCTATCTGTCTATCTGTCTTTCTCTCTCTCTCTTTATATAAATCAATCTATATTTATATCTCAATCTATATTTATATATATCAATCTATCATCTTTCTCTCTCTCTCTCTCTCTCTTTCTTTCTCTCTCTCTCTCTCTCTCTCTCTCTCTCTCTCTCTCTCTCTCTCTCTCTCTCTCTCTCTCTCTCTCTCTCTCTCTCTCTCTCTCTCTCTCTCTCTCTCTCATCATCTATCATCTTAATCTATACATCTCTCTCTTTCTTTAAAATTTCCCATTTCATTCGTTGGGGAGAGAGCAGCTACTCCTAAGCGAGGGATGGCTAATAAGCTATATCCTGCAACCCATGGCCAGCTGACCTGAAACAATCACAGGTTTCCTGTGAATCTGTAGCTAAGTACGGCAAATATTGCTAATTTTGACAAGGATACGATCCTCTAGAAAGCCTCGACTACGGATGGAAATATTCGAGGAGAACACTGAAATACAGTGGGCACAATCCAGAGAAAGTTAACTATGAAATCAATGGGGCTTAAGTGCTGATCTCTGAGCTTAAATCTCATTGATTTCAACTGAACATAAGCTCACTTAGCTTTCTCTTGATTGTATCCAATGACGTCTTCCAGCCTGGGTCTTCTGGTATGTAAGGCTGAGAATGACTCTGGATCCCACTAAATTCTCAAAACATCAAGCTTGCATCAAGGGAACTGCAAACAAACAAACAAAACCCACGGGAAATTTCTACCATGAAATCCAAGTTCACGTATGAACGTCAACAGGTCATACAAAATATATTCTCGAAAGGGGTTTTTCAGCTTCATCTCCTGCATGCCGAAGAGACCGGACAGCCATTTTCCCAAAATGCTACTTCCTTGAGTAGGGAGTTGGATTAGACACTACACCAGGGCTGTCAAACTCAATTTCATTGAGGGCCACATCAGCATTGCGGTTGCCCTCGGGGGACCGGGTGGGTGTGGCCAGGGTGGGTGCGGCCTACTAGGTGGGCGTGGATGGAGTGGGTGTGGCCTACTGGGTGGGCATGGCCAGCTCTACATCGTTCGCGTCAAGGGTGCCTGTGGGGGCCTGAGCAGGAGTGGGACAGATCTGAGGGTCTCTGGCAGAAGGGGGTGGGACCGGGGCAAGCGCCAAGGCATGGCCCACTGGAGGAGCCCCACTGCCTGCCGAAACCCCTCCGCCGGAGCCCATCAAGCCGGATATGTGAAGTAGGCGAGGGCCATTTGCTGGCCACTTCCAGGCGATGGTCCATTTCTTCATTCCTCACAAAGGGTGACACCTCCCCAGCATGCACCCAGGGGGCAGGCCCGACACGGCAGGGGCTGGTTCCTCGCTGTTTCCAGATGGCCTTGTGGAGCTAAGACTGAATGCGTTTCAGCATAGATGGCCACCACAAAATTGTACATTGGCTCCCGCCCGGCCTGGGCCAGGGCCAAGGTAGCGGGGGCTGTTCCCTCACTGTTTCCAGGATGGCTTCGCGGGCCACATGAAACCACTTTGCGGGCTGCATTCGGCCCCCGGGCCTTGTGTTTGACATGTCTGCACTAGAGGATCTCCAAAGTACCTTCTAACCTTATTATTCTATGTCCTATGCCATTTTAAAAGATAAGTAAAGCACTTCTCTAATTTCTCTTCATCCTTTTCCAAGGGGAACCATTAATGCTGCAATTTAATACTATGCGAATTATCAGGCAGATTGCCCCTTTAGCACGGAGGTGAATGATTCACAGAGTCCTATTCCCATGATGAATTTACGACTCTCTCCCATTAGTTGTTTTTTTTTTTGGGTCATAAGTGACAGGTAAGTGCACAAATTGTAAAAAACGGTAATTCAACACGAGTAACTTAACAGGACTTCCTTTTCCAAAAACAACACCGTAAGGACATACTGTACTAAATGCACTTTACGCTGCCTAACATTTTTGTCTTTCTGACTCTGATGAGGCCTGCAAATAGCTAACCTGGGTTCTTTATGCCCTGCTTGTTAGATGTGATGCTTAATATTTATTCCTTCCTTTAGAGCTGCAGAGCCTGACACAAATGGAAACATTAGCACATGGATAGGGAACTCTTTACATCTTACGTGTTTGGTAATGANTCTCTCTCTCTCTCTCTCTCTCTCTCTCTCTCTCTCTCATCATCTATCATCTTAATCTATACATCTCTCTCTTTCTTTAAAATTTCCCATTTCATTCGTTGGGGAGAGAGCAGCTACTCCTAAGTGAGGGATGGCTAATAAGCTATATCCTGCAACCCATGGCCAGCTGACCTGAAACAATCACAGGTTTCTTGTGAATCTGTAGCTAAGTCCGGCAAATATTGCTAATTTTGACAAGGATACGATCCTCTAGAAAGCCTCGACTACGGATGGAAATATTAGAGGAGAACACTGAAATACAGTGGGCACAATCCAGAGAAAGTTAACTATGAAATCAATGGGGCTTAAGTGCTGATCTCTGAGCTTAAATCTCATTGATTTCAACTGAACATAAGCTCACTTAGCTTTCTCTTGATTGTATCCAGTGACGTCTTCCAGCCTGGGTCTTCTGGTATGTAAGGCTGAGAATGACTCTGGATCCCACTAAATTCTCAAAACATCAAGCTTGCATCAAGGGAACTGCAAACAAACAAACAAAACCCACGGGAAATTTCTACCATGAAATCCAAGTTCAGGTATGAACGTCAACAGGTCATACAAAATATATTCTCGAAAGGGGTTTTTCAGCTTCGTCTCCTGCATGCCGAAGAGACCGGACAGCCATTTTCCCAAAATGCTACTTCCTTGAGTAGGGAGTTGGATTAGACACTACACCAGGGCTGTCAAACTCAATTTCATTGAGGGCCACATCAGCATTGCGGTTGCCCTCGGGGGGCTGGGTGGGTGTGGCCAGGGTGGGTGCGGCCTACTAGGTGGGCGTGGATGGAGTGGGTGTGGCCTACTGGATGAGCATGGCCAGCTCTACATCGTTCGCGTCAAGGGTGCCTGTGGGGGCCTGGGCAGGAGCGGGACAGATCTGAGGGTCTCTGGCAGAAGGGGGTGGGACCGGGGCAAGTGCCAAGGCATGGTCCACTGGAGGAGCCTCACTGCCTGTTGAAACTCCTCCGCCGGAGCCCATCAAGCCGGATATGTGAAGTAGGCGAGGGCCATTTGCTGGCCATTTCCAGGCGATGGTCCATTTCTTCATTCCTCACAAAGGGTGACACCTCCCCAGCATGCACCCAGCGGGCAGGGCCGATGTGGCAGGGGCTGGTTCCTCGCTGTTTCCAGATGGCCTTATGGAGCTAAGACTGAATACGTTTCAGCATAGATGGCCACCACAAAATTGTACATTGGCTCCCGCCCGGCCTGGGCCAGGGCCAAGGTAGCGGGGGCCGTTCCCTCACTGTTTCCAGGATGGCTTCGCGGGCCACATGAAACCACTTTGCGGGCTGCATTCGGCCCCCGGGCCTTGTGTTTGACATGTCTGCACTAGAGGATCTCCAAAGTACCTTCTAACCTTATTATTCTATGTCCTATGCCATTTTAAAAGATAAGTAAAGCACATCTCTAATTTCTCTTCATCCTTTTCCAAGGGGAACCATTAATGCTGTAATTTAATACTATGTGAATTATCAGGCAGATTGCCCCTTTAGCACGGAGGTGAATGATTCACAGAGTCCTATTCCCATGATGAATTTACGACTCTCTCCCATTAGTTTTTTTTTGGGGGGGGGGTCATAAGTGACAGGTAAGTGCACAAATTGTAAAAAACGGTAATTCAACACGAGTAACTTAACAGGACTTCCTTTTCCAAAAACAACACCGTAAGGACATACTGTACTAAGTGCACTTTACGCTGCCTAACATTTTTGTCTTTCTGACTCTGATGAGGCCTGCAAATAGCTAACCTGGGTTCTTTATGCCCTGCTTGTTAGATGTGATGCTTAATATTTATTCCTTCCTTTAGAGCTGCAGAGCCTGACACAAATGGAAACATTAGCACATGGATAGGGAACTCTTTACATCTTACGTGTTTGGTAATGA